TATATATATATATATATATATATATATATATATATATATATATGAGATATTAAACTAACTATTCTCTTCTCTCCATTGTTAGAAAATAACAATACTTCCATTGAATTCTTTCTCGATTCATTTCTTGTTAAGGACTTGAGCACGAGGGCATCATTGGTCCAAGGCCCGAATAAAGACAACATCTACAAATGACATGCATTGTAATGCATGTCTTAGTAATAAGAGTCATCGGCAGCCTTTTAGCTTATCTTCCATTTCCTCCTCTAAACCTTTTGAAATTATATATACTGATGTTTGGGTCCTGCTCCAATCTTATCTTTTGATAAGTTCCGATTTTATGTTATTTTTGTAGATCACTTTTCTAAGTACACATGGATATATCATCTTTCTCATAAATCTGACGTTTCTCACTTTTTTTCCACTTTCCATATGGTGGCGGTGAATATCAAGCCCTGATATCCCATCTCTCAGCTTGTGGCATTCAACACCTCAAACAGTTAGGGAAATCTCATCTAGTATCATCCATGTCTTGACCTTAATTTAATAGTCACATAATCCAATTGAGTTTCCATAACATACCATCATGAATGACTTAAACTATAGTTCATAAAACATCATAATACATAAGCATAGGATAGAATATATTATTGACATCCTATCCATGTCGACAACATACAAGAAAGCATCAAATTCCCTAAATAAATGACAATCAACAAAAAGTTAGATGCATATGTGATCATAAATATATATATATATATCTTATATGTTCATCAAGTTTTATTTTTCTGATCCAATACTCATCAAACAACTTTCTCTTTTAGTGTAAGAACATGAATCTCCATGCATCCAATCGTTTTACCTCTTACCGACACGAGCTCTCCCTGAACCGTGAAGCGCCGTCGTCCGCGGACGCAACGGTGCAACCTCCACCACGTCAGCCGCCGCCCCACATATCCACGGGAGCGCCCTCGACCCACTCGCCTTACTCGCCGCCTTCCTCCCCTCCCTCGTCGTCGTCGGTGTAGCAGAGGCCACTTCCCTCTGCCGGCCCCCGCCGTCGCTCGCCACGATGAGGCGCTCCAGCTCCTTCGTGATCCTCTCGATCTCGTACAGGTCGAACAGGGGGACCGGCCCGGGCTTCTCCTCCGCGGCGGCGACCGCCTCGAGCTTGTAGCGGGACGGGCGCTGCTTACGGCCGGCGACAGCCGCAGAGGCAGCACCACCCCGCACGACGTGGTCGAACTCGCCAACGCCGCGGCCGTCGCTGCCGGAGCCACGCTGGTGCCAGGCCCACGCCGCTGCCTTCGTCATCGCCAGCTCGTCCTCCGTCGCCGCGGCGGTCGACGAGGACGCTTTCGTCCTTCGCTTCGCCCGATCCATCTGAGCAGTCGAAGAGAGGGTGAAAGAGGAGAGCGCTTTAAACATGAGAACGAAGCTCGTTATTGGCTATTCCTTTTTTGATATTTATAACCTCCTTATTAATAATATATAAGTTTATTATTTATCATCTATTAATTACTTATTTTATTTTATTTTTATTTTTCATAACTCAGCTCGCTGTTCGACACCCCTTAGATATCGTCCTAACTCGATGGATGTCGTTCGACGACTCAACGCAAGTGGAGTTATTCGACGTCGATAAATTATTGTATATAACAAAAAAGGATTATCAATCGAAATCTATATACAAAAAAAAAATTATATATTTTTATCTTTCCAAAATCTAATTATAAGTATCATTTATCGTTATATAACATATGATATACATGTCTCCAACCATTAATATCCTCTACATATTCAACTAAGTCCCCAATTAGTAGGACTTTGTGTTGGCAGATTGATATCTATCACGTCCTCACAATTGATTCAGTCATTCCAATTCAATCAAACCTATCCATCCATCGGAATGACAATTAGGGAATCTAATTCAATCGAATTAGTAAGGATAGACGTTCGATTAATCTACCTAACGTCTTGGACGTGATTGGTGCCTTTGAGATTGGTGTTACCACTTATGAGATTTGTGCATTCGTGTTAGGTTTAGAGCTTAATTGCGTGATGGGGAAAGGGAAGTGAAGTCTCGGAAGTTAGTGGTGATGAGGTGGACAAGTGTTTCGAGGATTCATAGCCTCGTCTTCTAACACTACTATTAATTAAGACGCCTCATTCATTAATCCTTCAATTTGCTTTCCTTATTCATGTGAACACCATCGCCTTTACGTGTAGACGAGCACCAAAATTAATGAAAGAGACTCGTGAGAGGCTAATATTCTCTCGACTCTTTTCTTATCGTCTAAGATTCTTACTCGATTCATTATTCTTTTTCCACAAATCCATGAATGAGGGAGAAAAACGCAAAGTAGGTTTATAGTAATTTATTATCCGAGATTGTTAGTATGGAAGTTTGATCCGCAATCCATTTCACAACCTCACCATTTTGAATCTTCATGCACGGTAGATGGAAATCACCATCAATAATAAATCTCGAGGAGAGAGCAACTTATGTTTCTTTGTACTCTTTATGATATTTAAATAGAGTTTCGGAACGATCCCTCCGACGTATAAATTAGTCAATAATTCATCGAGAGTTAATTTTTAATGTTGCACCATAGTATCGGAGCGCTCTCTCCTACGTATGTTTGAAAAATACTTTTATAATAAAAAATATTTAGAGACTAATTATATTTTGATTTTGCTGACATGAAAAATTCGATTGATTTGTTTTGTCATATTGATATATATGCGGTATGATATTTCATACTAAAATAGTATATTGAAAATCATATGAAGTCATTCGGGAATTGTTGAAGCTGAAACACTGAGATCAATGCAAAGGCAAACAAAGTCATGACTCCCAATTGTTGGATGCATTTTCCGTACTTGATTATGATCCGTGTTAGGTGAGTATTTCCATTCATTTGCTTCCCTCCTATTGT